CAGATCGGTGGCTACGTACGTAACAGTTGTGGTGATTGACTAATGTTCGGAGAAGACTTTCTATTGGACGATGGCGATGACATTGAAACTTACTATAACGACAAAACCAGCGGGATGAATCCGGTTTTTCGGTTTTTTTGTTTTTGTTTTTGCTTTTGTATTTTTGTTTGTTTTTGTTTTGTGTGTGTGTGCGTGTGTGTGTGTGTGTGTGTGTGTGTGTTGCAGCTTCCTTTTTAGCAAACTGAAGCACTTGGTTCACAAAATTAATTCTAGGAAGTCTTGTCACCAAAAAATAGAAACCTCCAGGCATCAACTCTGTTCCCTAAAAACCTTATAAAATTTCGATTTCAACAACAGCAAACAGTGTCGACCAAACCAGCTTTAAGTTGGAATCTACGAAGTATCATGCATGAGGGCTGCTATTTGCACTACATTTCTTATCACTTTTGGTGTTATTGATATAACTGAAGAGCAAGTTACCAACGGTAAGCACATTGTTCCTGGACTACCTAATCGTGCTTTGAAGTTCCAATCTCGAATATGACTAACAACGTAGACGTCAAACCATGTCTTCGTGGTAAAAAAACAAACAAACAAACAAACAAAGAAGAAAAAAATGTATATATAAGCTGAAGGCGATCGAACTTGCACTGTCACTAGACATATATCTATCAAGTGGGGATCCACTCCAACTACTTCATGGCTTTCCTTACGTTAGGTTTGCATTAATGGCTTTTCCAACCCGTAGTTTGGATCTATTTATGTGGGTGAGCTCTTGATACGTGAATGCAAATAATTTCATGTTCTAGATCTACTGTAGAGGCTAGGTCGACTGTAATTTACATTACTGCTTTTATAGGTTGTTCCTCACCTTTACTTGGTACTATTCCAAACAAAGATATCATGGCGTCATCAGCACAGAATCCTGATTCATTTCCTCGTTATGCACGGTTAAGCAAAAGCAAAGCGTGGGTTCCATATAAATATGACAGAGCTCCATGGATACAAGTGAATTTACAGCATTCAAGAAATATCACTGCGATTGCTGCTCAAGGCGTTTCTGGCTCTTTTGTAAAGGTATTTATGAGTAAGGTGAGGTGCAATAACTGCTTCTAATTTGTGAAAAGTAAGTTTACAGTTCAAAATGCACCCGTGTCACATTTTCTCATAGGTAACACCCGGTATTTCTCAATTGAGAATGTGGGTAGTACCCTAGTGAAATGATCGTCTGGGCCGTCTGAGCCGTTTGATGCCGCTTATTTGAGCCATTGTCTGGAGCAGCCAATGAAATCGCTTTACGGAATAATCCTCGTTCGCCCGCGAGGAACAAATTCCACAATGTGCCTTCTGGTAAGCTTTCATCGAGATAGTGGTTTTTCTTCGTGAGGAAATACAATGGCGAAACGTACTCGTATCTCAGATAAACAGACTC